CAGAATATTAATTGCTTAATTTGCATCATTACATTTAATACACACAGCAAACCTGTAAGTTAGTATTTTATTTCCAGTTTAATAACAATACGGCATGTCTTAGAGAGGTTAAACTACTGGTGCAGGGCCTTACTTAAATGAAAGGATTTGTTGTGATTCCAATCTCAAAACTGCTTCATTCCTAAGTCCCTGTTCTTAAGTACTGCATGAGGCTGGAGAAATAATGAAAAAAAAAATCAAAACTAAGTAAAACAGCTTTAAACTAACAATATCATAGAAGTATAAAAGAATAAAAGGTCAACATAACTGAATTTTATCATAGATCTGCCACTTTTAATTTTTGTATCTTTTCCTAGCATTGATGCGAACATTTCTAAAATGAGAGTTGTTTATTTCAGGATCTAGTCCTTTTCCTGTGAAATTCTACAATCCTTGAAAGACATCTAACGTTGATTTTCTGAGAGCTGTGTGTTAGGATTTTATATGTCAGAGTTGTAGTTCATGCTATAGATTGAATTACAAGTTACACATTATACCATATTACATTACCCTTAATTATGTTTGACAATCAGAAGATATTAAAAACTACGCTAGAAGTTTGCATATGTATTTGTGCTGATGTGAACACAGTAAAAGAGGAAGAGCCCAAAGTAGCAGAGGAAGAAAAAGGAGGGATAGCTCCCTTCCTCCATGTGGAGGGGCTTAGAAGAACAGGTGTTGCATTGTTACTGAAGAGAAGGGAAAAAACAAGGAGGTTTACACCTGGTTACCCAGAACTAGAATTCCTAATCAACTTGTTGTTATTAAAAAGAGTGTGGCATTTACATATGCTTATGTAATGCCACTACAATTTTGGCTACTCTGTATAAAGTTAGCGGTCTACGTTAATACCATGAATTGGAGGAGCTAATAGAATAGAACAGAGGGAAGCTCTTCAAAGTTTAAAGTGCAAAGAGATGATGTAGGGATCTTGTTAAAATCTACATTCTGATTCAGGAGATCTTGGCTGCAGCCTGAGACTCCATATTTTTAACAAGCTCCTAGGTGATCCTTCTGTGGCTGCCGCTGAGCCACACTTCGGGCAGCAAGGAGCTAGGAGGCTAGTGCAGCCATCGGATACTGACATGAGGGGATCTCACTAGGATGATGGAATTGGAGTAGACGGTGGTGAGTCAGGCTTAAAGAAAGAAGGATGTCATTTTTAAAGATGTGACCTGGTGGTGTCTGAAATGTTTGTTTAGGAGAACTCATGCAATGAACTTACAACTCTAGATTTTTAACACACATGTGCTGTTAGTGGGAATGACATTCACTCTGTACATCTGAATGGGTACATAAAAGATGGCTTCAATCCACTGCTTCACTGAATTTGAAATATCCTAGGGTTTCTTAAAAACAAACAAGTGGGTATGTCAATATTCTTCAGATTTGGAGGAATCAGTCCTTGGATGTGAACCAGACATTTTTATGGCAATCAGGCCCTACCTTGCTGAGGAGTCTCAGCACTTAGTCTTTTCAACTTTCTGCTGGGAACAGTATCTTTGCTCTCTATTTAGAGTCACAGGAAATTTTGCTGGTTTCTGTGAGATTCCTGCCTATCTTAACTAAAGATTTGAATGTGTATGGCTATTCCTGTCAAAAATGATATTTCTTGCTAAATATAGGTCTATAATCTTGATAATGCTAATCAGTTGAATGAGTAATAA